AGTATTTCTTCACTGAAAGAAGAGCAAAACACTGCTCTGGAGGCTTTTCTCAGAGGAAAAGATGTTTTTGCTCTTCTCCCGACTGGTTTCGGCAAGAGTTTGATCTATCAATTGGCTCCTCTTCGTCGTTGCTCTGTTACGTCATATGCTTCCCTGATCTGATTGGTTTATTTGGCCCGTCTATCACCAACATGGGCCAATCAGCTAACCAGTATTTTTGCCCCTTCCCAAAATTACTTCTACGGAAGGTTTACAGATGGATATGCGGAGCAAATCCATCTGGCGGAGTCAGGTTACCAGTAAAGCACATTCAGAGGAAAATTAATCTGAATTAAAAACACGGACATCCCAAGTCTCCCTGAAGTTCCAGGAGTCACCCTGATATAGATAGCTGTTCATTGATGTCCGTGAGCCGGATCAATTATCCCGGATTTTACACTCTGGGAGGTGGTGTTTCTTAATGTCAGTGAGAGCGAGAAGGCAATAATTCATGCATGATGTGCGGATTAGAACTACTGCGATTGTGCAGGAATGACAAGAGAGAGCGGGTGTGGGGAGGAAGTTACTGGTGAAACCTGTGCAGCGTTTCTGTCCAAAGTGATCCGATCCAGGCGATCCAGGCGACTGGTTGATCAGAGAACTAATTGGATCAGTCCGATAAGTTTCTCTGTGTTACTCTCTGGCAGTCACCTAGTTACCACTCAAAGCTGTGCATCCTGGGAAACGGCAGAGGTTAAATTCTCGAGTAAAAAATTTAAATAAAGGACTAATTTTACAGCTGAATATACTAAAGTATATCCACGTCTAGTGAAGGTGATCAGTGGCGGATCTAGACCAAATGTACCAGGGGGCCAGGAGGGGGCCAGCATGTTTTCATGGGGGCCCAGAAAAGCATGAAATAAAAAAACAGCGCAAGAGATTCAAATATATTAAGAGAGCTGCATGAAGGGAAATTTCTTTTTAATTAGGATCAATAAATAATCTATTTCTTATGTGGTCAATATACATTTATAATTTAGGAATTTTACATATTTTTGACTTAATTTAAGTTAAAACTACTGTTTTCTATAAAATTTGAATTAGAGCTCAAGAAAAATTGTTAAATTAACCTGTAAAAATTAGAGGATTTTTTTTTTATTTGTTGTGAAAAAAAACCAAAACATTTAGCAGATGAAAACTGGGATCCTATCTCCCTGAAATTAGTTTTTGGAACTTGGGATGTCTGCACTTATCATTTATTGAACATGATGTAATAATTTCATATTTACTTTCTGAAGTTTGAATTCTGAATATGACAGAACTTTTCATTTAAATCTGTGGTGGTTTCTGTGGTGAAAATTTTCACCACAGAAAAAAAATCTTATTCTAGAAAAACAAACAAATAAAACCAAAATATGGTTCATATTGCACAGATCTCAACAAACAAACACAGAAAAAAGCTGAAATTATAATTTAACAAAATAAAATTACAAAAAAAACATGTTCAACCTGAAACATCTTATTCAGATTATCTATGATAAGACTGATATTTACAAGAATG